GTTCTAAGTATCATACAATATAATTAAGATGTTGCGTCAATTTATAGGACATTAAATAACTAAGAATATCAAAAGCTCTTAATAGTAGGATAATTGCTTTATATCAAAATCATATAAGTGTTGTTTTGTTGCACGTTTAAAATGTTGAATTGAGTTTAAAGTTTTTATATTACTTGTTAAAAGCAAGTTCGATAACCACGGCCTTCAGCAAGATATTGAAAAATCAGTTTGTTTTGATAATTTTTTTGGTACTATAAAGTTATTTATTGCGTAATTAGTTGCGTATTTGTGGTTAAAAGAAAAAATGTAAGTTTGGTAGTATACCATTGTTAAACTTAAACATAAAAATAAGTTTATAAAGAATATTTTTATCATAGGCATTAGGCACTCCAATTTCTTCTAGTAGTGGTCTAGCCCTAGAGTATTTATTTGCATTTAATATCAAGCGACTTGCTCGTTTTTGTATTTTGTATTTAAATTTGAAGGATAAATACTTGCCTAGATAATGTTGCAGTAGCTGATGTAGCTATGAATAAAGACAAAATAAATATTTTTTAAGCAATTTGTGTTCAGGAAATGTTTTGTTTTATACATAATACCAACAATATTAGATTTTTTATTTTCTATTACTTTGAAATGATTACTCCAGCTAATATGTTCATTAAGAATTACGCCTAAAAACTTGATCGAGTATTCTCGTTTAAGTTTAGTATTATCAATTAGTAAATTAAGTGGTTTTTATCAATTTTAGTTTTATCAATTTTAGTTTTATCAATTAGTATTTATAATCAATTTTAGTTTTATCGGTTAGCAAATCAGACGTTTGTTGCGTTGCATACTAACGTCTGTATAACTAAACGTCTTAAGCATATGTTGAGTTTGCACGCAGTATACGGAACAATCGGGATTATAAATCTATAAAAATGAGAAAACTTTTGAACTTTATTTTAACAATCAGATAATTTTTTTGCTATACAATTATTTTTTGCTATAAATAATGCTATAATTATTCCAGATATATAATAAAAATTTTGCTATAAATATTGCTATTAGCACAGCAAGATGGAAAAATATTCAAAATTTATTAGGGGAGGTCTTTATTCCCCCAAAAAACAGTAATTAAAGCGCACTAAACCACTGACCTATCAACGATATGCGTTTAGGAGAAAAACAAACCTAATCATAAATTTCTTATAAGCTCTAGATATGCTGAAAGGGTGCGCATGTTATTTTGCGTTTGTTAATTTTTTTGCTCTTAAAGTAATTTTTTAAAATGAATTATTTTACATAAAATTATTGAATTAACCAAATCATAGGTATAGAAATGCTTGGTGTCATGGCGCTCTATACTGAAGGCCTATTCATTGCGCAACCGTAAACCGTGACTATTATTTTTACGGATTATTAGCAACTCAGCTATAAAATTATATTTTGGAGTCAAAATAAGACTTTTAATGAGTTTAATTAGTTTATTTAGAAATATTTATATTAAAATGTAATAAAAAGTTATTATTTAAAATTAAAAAAAAAAATTAAAACAAAGAAAATATTTGCATATATTTTAACAACAGCATATACAAATCATTATTTTCTAAACAAATTTATGATAATTTTAAAACTTTTAATGCAGATTCTTTATTAGATCTTGGTGTGGTTTGTGCACAAAAATTATTTAAAAATATATTGGCAAGTGTGTTGCAATGTTTTTGATTAATTTCAAAATAGTAAAATTCAGAAACCAGCAGAAAAATGTCACCTAAGGATTTACAACAAACTTTATCTTTTATTGAATGGAATAAGGCAAAGCAAAAAAAAACCCATTGGCAAACATTGTCTGGTGGAATTTTAAGACCACCACGATCTATAGACTTGAGGTACTCACCAAACTTTTCATAATAAAATAATGTTTGTAAATTGATAAGTCTAGTTTTTCTAAATTGTCAAATATTTCACAACCTGCTTCACATAAAACATATGTACAAGAAGCGCACTCATGACCTGAGCTAAAATCAAAAGAATTTATGTCAATATTTAAAGATAATAACAGTGATGTGTGATTTATATGCAATTTTTCTATAACTTGTTGAGCATTTATAAAGTAGGCATTCCCGGAGCCTTGTCTCAATTTCCCAAATTCTTTTTCTAAGTGGTCACTTATAAACATTCCAAGAAGAACGTAATCATGACTTGTTGCTAATAAATATTTACATCGCTCGACAATACCATAGCAAGTATGGTGAATTGATTTTGCAGTATCATTAGATAACTGCTTTACTCTTTTGCCATTTTTACAACACATTTCGAGAGCCATATCACCAAACTGAAGTAAAGTATTAAGACGGCAATCATCAGGACTACAAATAGGTGCTTCTAGTGGATTATTGTGTCTTACATCAGCTCCACGACCTTTCACATTCAAAATTTTACACTAGGTTATTACTTTATTTATAAATATTGCAGTATCCTTAGAATTTGAAATTTTTTGAGAATAGGTCAGCAAGGCATGATATGAAAAAACTTTAAGGCAAGTAGATACATTTTGCATTTCAATTGGCTTGGGAGCTATTGCAATTTCATTTAAGTCTGACATTTTGACTAACTTATCTGATTCTAATTGATATAAGCATTTAAGGTGTTCCCATTTAGCTGTTCTTTGAATACCATTATCATTGTACACTAGTTCCCCAGTTTTTTCTGTAAGCCATAGATTCCTAATGTTTTTCAAAAGATGAACAAAGTCAAACAGTAAATACATCCCATCTTCCGTTTTCCAAGGTTTTTCTGGAATAGTACGATATAATTTAAAAAATGCTTGGTTTACACGAAAATTTGAACTTAACTTTGAAATTGAAATCATTTTATACAGAAATTTTAGACCACCGTTTAGACATACTATCATAATTCCTAACACAGTTTTAGCAAATAATGATGGATCATTTGAAGATTTACCAAGCAATGTTCCACCATGGTAAAGCTTTTTTTGACATATACTTCATCATGAATAATTATAAAATTTAATTATAATATTTTTTAATTATAATATTTTTATTTATAATATATTTATATTTTTTAATTATAATATTTTTTGACATATATTTCATCATGAATAATTATGAAAACTTTTTGTTTTTCTTCAATGTTTTTGAAAACTGAGTCTTAGAAACTAGCATCATCAATTTTGCTAACTTTTGATGTTATTCGTGTCAAAGTATTAACTGATGGCAATTTAAAATCGTTTCTTAGTTTATTGTCTAAAGAACGAGATGTTGAAAAATATTTAAAACTACTTATAATAGTATCTGATTCATATATTTTTTTTCCAATAAGCTTTGCAGACATAACTGATATTTGTTGCTGAATAATGTTTTTCTTATGATCTATTTCCATGACATTTAAAAAATGTAATATTTCCTCAAACTTTGACCAAGTATCAACAATATTAATACGATTTTTACACAAACTTTTTATAAAACATTTTATTCCACAATGAAATGTTTCAAAATGTAAATTCTCGAAAATTTTAGCAAGAAATAAAGGAACACCATCACAAAACGTTATAGATTGAACATTTACTGTTTTTTCAATCATAAATGTTATTACTGAAACTGAAAAAACCCTGAGATCATTTAATAAAACATTTTTAAAATCAATATATGTTGCTGCATCAGCCAATAAAAAAGTGCTAAGTTCATCAGTTCTGACATTTCTAACAACGCTCAAAGATTTCTGTGTTGTGCAATGTGGTAGCAATGGAGTGAGTATGAAACTTGAAGGTATTCCAGGCCAAACAGATGGTGGCATTTTTGGTCTTTGTTTTCCTTGAACAGTAACTTTTTCAAAAATTGTTGGCCAATGTAATTGGCAAATAACAGTTTCATCTGAAACTAAAAGATTAGAATTCGGAATACTTTTTATCCAAATATTCCTTTGTTCTTTATCTTTAGGAAAACGATAAACTGGTATTTTTTCAAAGCTTTTATTATTTTTGGTACTTTGATAATTATTTTTGCAGCCATATACACAACACTTTTTTGGCATTTATAAAGTATAATTATTCAAAAGAATATAAAAACTCGCAAACTATAACATAAAACTCTCAACATTGTACGTTATATAGAATGTTAGGTGTTATATATGTATATATATATATATATATATATATATATATATATATATATATATATATATATATATATATATATATATATATATATATATATATATATATATATATATATATGTATATATATATATATATATCCTAACACTCTTTAGAGTTGACAAGTAAGTAAAAATGTTTTAAAGTGTGTTTTGAAATTATTTACAAAAGTTTTAAAATATAATTTAAAAAACATTAATAATACAAAAATATTGGAAATCTAAAAGAGTAAGAAAAATTAATTTGAAAAAGTTAAAAATCCTCTAGCAAGTTTTTCAATGCGAGCATTTCATCTTCGCAATTTTTTAAAATGTTAAAATAGGCCCCCAGTCACGACTTACGGTTGCGCGATGAATAGGCCTTCAGTATAGAGCGCCATGCTTGTTGTGGAATAGATAAGTATAGAAAAGAAAGACCCATATTTTATGGGTCTGGAAAACTAGGATATATATATATAAGGAAAAAGTATAGGAAAGGTCAGTGTGGTATAGACTTATAAAGACCCGTTTTACGGGTCAGATCAGCTAGTTGAAAATAAATAAAACAATTGTAAATAAAATACCCATTAATTATAAACAATATCGTTAAAAAAAAAAAACAGCATAAAATGATAAAATTATATAAATCAATTATAAATTTATTCTTACCATTAATTATCAGGGAAAAAAAATGCAATAGCAGACAAAGTTTACTTATTTGCGATATTTTCTTTGTTCTAAAACCCACATTAAATAATTAACTTGTTAGTTGGTTTGGATTCAACAAATTAAGTAGCAAAAAAATTTCCAAAAAGCAACAAATTTTCTTTAATAGATTCATCTTTATTTACAATTCTTTTTAGGTAAAAATTGTTTTTACGTTGATAAGGCTGGTTTGCTGCTTTAAATGAACTTCTTTTTGATGGTGCAAAGTGTTGCTGAGTTAACTGACATATAAATTAGTAAAGATCGTGGGCAAGATTGAGTGATAGGCAAAATTATGCAAAATTATGCAAAACTACCCTAAAGCAAAAAAATTTTTCCAACGTTGGTTTGCTATGAGATATAATCTTTATCTCAATTGCTTTACTTTTTTCTGATTATTGATTATAATTTTTTTGTTGTATTAACTTTTTATTTATTTGAAAAAAATATTTTAATGATTTGTTGTAATTAATAAATAACAAACATCAAATACGTAGTTTAATATTGTAAACGTTCAAAAAGGTGAATATGATACGTTTAAAGAATAGGCTGAATTCAAACACTGAATGATTTGGTTTAAAAATTTATTATCTAAAAATCATTAATTAGAAAAGCAATTGAAGCTAAGATAAAAATACTATTTCATTCTACAAGATCTTGATGAATAATATTTTTTGTTTGTTTGTTTGTACACATCGTGTTACAGTTTCCAATTAAATAAATCGTAATACAATTATATAAATAACTTTATAAATAAAAGCTTTACAAATATAAACAAGGTTTCTGATAGAAGATCTCATTGATCTTGTCGTCAGAAACTTTTAAAAGCGTAAAAACAACAACAACAGCAAAAATAAATGAAAAATTAAAACTATACAGTGCGTTATAGCATATTAGAAGTAATTCATAATATCGTTTATAGAAATAATAAATTTTTTTAGTTTATTTTTAAAAAGTTCAAATGAAGTTGATAAATCAAAATTATTCAAAACAATTTTGTTCCAGAGATAAGGTGCACGATATCCAATACAAAACTGATTAAACTTTATACGACAAAGTAGTTCATTTAAAAAACATTTTGCAAAAAATATTTATTTATTTTTTTGATAAAAAAATTTTTAAAAATAGTTAGTGTTAAGTTATCTTTACATTGAAACTTTACATTAAAACAAAAAAACAAAATTTTATAAATGTTGAGTTGATATCATAGATATATAAATTACTAGACACGGCATAGGCATGCCCAGCTTTATAACTTTGGAAAAAATTTTGAGGCTGCTCTTCCGTTGAAAAAGTGACGAATAGTAAAGGCAAAAATTTAAAATACAAATTCGTTAATATTTAAATGTTCAATAACTTGAAACCTAAGTTCGTTTTGTTAGCTTTTATATTCTATATGATAAAGTTGCTAGATTAAAGACTTAAGCTTATCATTAATTTAATAGTATCGCGTTAATCGAGAGACCTGAAATTCCAATGATAAGCAGCTATTTTATAGTAAAGTAATATTGAGAAATATAATATATAGTCTAAATGTTAACAATATATTCACCGTTTGAAAATTTTGACTTTTTTGGTTACGAAACATCCCGAAAAAATCCTCTTAGGGTATGAAACTACACATGTCAAGAATACTATATCAACTTACTTTGAAATCCAAAATTAAAATCCGAGAGAGATATTTTGATTTGAAAATATTCAATATTTTCACCAAATGGATAGAAGTTGGTTACAACCTGCCCTTAACAAAAGGGGTCATATCAGTCCTAATACAGCCTAACTAATTTAAAAAGTAAAATTAAGATAGAAAATATGCCATTTTTGACAATAATTCATATTCACAATTTTAAAATTTTATTTGAAAATATTTAGAAAACCATCTTTCAATTTTTTGATATAATCAAAATTTCTCACTTCAAAAATTTTTCTTTTGACAAATAAATACATTCTTTACACACACACAAACTGAGTTTCTCCAAATTGAAAATGAGGAGTCTTTTATTTTCTTTCTTTCCAACTAAACTTTTTTGCTGTTGTAATCAACTACACAACTGAGGAGTTGACTGGAATATTTCGGATGAGTAGAGTTTCGCTTGAATCTTTGCCAGTGGGTCTTGAAATTTGAATGAAGAGCTTCTGTTGCTTGCTCACTGAATACACCTAGACCAACCTTGTGCTGATGAATGAATTGTTGAACGTGATGAAAAACAGCATGTGCCTTTGGTGTGACTGAGACTGGTAATTTCAAGTAGTTATCTTTGAAATCACAAATTTTTGCCTCATAATCTGGCAACAGAGTGTATCCAAAGCATGAAACCACAACCTGGTGAAATGAGCTCAATGCTTGGCATGCCTTTGTTGCATCTGGTGCTTTTTCAGCAATTGTCAATTGCATAAGCTCTTCAATTTTCCTCAGCACTTTCATGCAATCTTTTCCATTGAAGTGGCCACCATGAAATGGTTGCATCTGAATGTGGATTGAATCCAACCATTGTTTGGTCTTTGGAAAAACTTGAACCAAGTACTTGATGAGGTGGTTGACAACTCCCAGGAGCAAATGCAGTTCCATGGGTGGGATTGCCTCAAGGATCAATTCCCTGTCTGGAAAGGCAAACATTGGCAAATGAACCACATTTTCAAACTCTTTTGATTTTTTGGCATCACAACCAGACTTCACAAATTTTTTGTACAAGTCTCTGATGCCCCCGAATGTTCTAAGCTGACCACAGTTTTCCAAATGTGCTGAGTCTATGTTGCACCAACAGCAAGGATGCTTACTGCTGTGTGACTGGATTCCACAAACTATGTTTGCAAGCTTCATGTCACAAGAAATAACAAGTTTTTCTGAAATGGAGATTTCATTGATTTGGAGAAGATCCAGAATGTGCTTAACATTTGGGTAAGTCTCTGGTGTGTTCTCTGAAATGGCAACAATCAGTTGTTTTTGAACACTTGTGTTTTTGAAGTTATCTTTGGTGATCAATTTTGATTTCTTCTGAACAGGACTGTGAGGTTCTCCTTCATGCTCACTGATAAGACTCAAACTTGCCTTAAAGAATGATCCTCCACCATCAATGCCAAGCTTTAAGAAGTTTGAGTTTTGCAAGCCTCTGGATGAAACAATATTTTCTTTGAGGGTTTCCAAATTTGTGCAGTGAACAATATGGCGTGTTTCATTTGATTCTGGTAACTGTGAAGTGGTTACTGTAAAGAAACTTTTGAGGGTAGTTCCAGCTGCAGCAAATTTTTGTTGAAAATTGGCCTCAACTATGCGAACAGGACTTATTTGATTTAAAGCTGACCCAAGCTTTCTCATTCCATTGTTAGAAAGTCCAATGTTTTGCTGAATATTAATCATATCTTGTGTTGTCAATGGCTCTGAGGAGAGACCCTGAGTTGCATTTGATCCTGTGAATAAAGAAACAAATAAGAAAAAAACCAATATTAAAAAGCAAACCCAGCAACAATACTTTAACATACCTGGTCTGATTTCAAGAGGCTTTCCATGAAACCGGCTAATCAGAATAGTTCCATCGGAAGATACCTCTTTGGAAGAAACGATGAATGATGCAATTTGCTCTGCCCCTAACGGATCTGCTAATGCCAGAGCTTTCAAGTTTTCACGACGTGTTCCTTCTTTGCAGTTATGAGGCAGTCCTCGAGCAATGACAGATAGGCATTTTGTGCATCGTTTTTCAAAAGATTTTTCTTCTTTTTGCACTTCTTGCTGAGATGGTTTTTCAAAGGGGTGCTTTCCTTTCCCTTTGGTTTTTGAAATTTGACAAATGATGCAATCACATTTAGTTGTCTGGCGAGTTGATGATTTGATCAATATGGATTCGAAGTCATAAAGTTGAGGTATACTCACTTCTTCATCTCCAGAAGCTAACTTTCTAAGCAGGAACCTACAGGTGACACAGATCCCTCGTGGAACCCTCTCATCATCAAAGTTGATGTTGCCAGAAATCAATCTTTTGATTTCACTGATGAAATATTCTGAAATTTCTCTGTCACTTTTTTTCATACAAAGTGTGCAAACGACCTGCCGACATTGATTATGGTCCTTTGAAAAAGTAGGCATTTCAAAATCTGAGATGAACTTGTGATCTGTTTGAAGATATCATTTAAACTAATTCATAAAGTACAAAGAGGTCATAAAACGTATGAAAATGTACTAAAAGTACAAAAAGTCCGTAAAATTGGAAATGTCCGAAGAGTACAAATTTTAGGAAAGTACAAATTTACGGCAATTCACGTATCAAATTTTTCATCGTAATTCGCGATTCAAAAATTAATCGATTCAAAACTTGAAATGGAAATATCTCCCCTTATAGCTCATTTCTCAAAAAAATTTATTAAATACGAAATCTTTACAAATTAATTGTCTAAAAAAGTTATTTTATTAAAAAAATCACTACGACCCACCCCAATACCGCTATTTTCAAAAACAAAAACTGCTAATGTTTTTATATTATTTCAAAAATTTAAATCAAAATATCTCTCTCGGATTTTAATTTTGGATTTCAAAGTAAGTTGATATAGTATTCTTGACATGTGTAGTTTCATACCCTAAGAGGATTTTTTCGGGATGTTTCGTAACCAAAAAAGTCAAAATTTTCAAACGGTGTATTTTCATTGAATCAATTTGGCTTTCCTAAAGTGTTTTTAAAAGACAGTAACAATATTTAAATATATCCTTATCTATATGTCTTATAATTACTAAAATATATATTTAAATTTATGTATATTATAAACATTTGGTGTATCCGTATTGACAAGTGATTTAAATTTTTTAGTTTAAGGTAATTTGTTTTACTTAAATGAAATGTGTAAAACTGGTTATATCAAGAATGGAATTCATTCAAATTTTATATACAAATGTATATATGTATCTATATTATATGAAAATATACATTCACACATATAACTTATGTGTGTATGTATGTTACAAATATACACACATACATGACAATGTATGATACATACAAACATAAACATGAAAAAAACTTAAAAATGTTTGTTTAGGCCTTGGCCTTAAAATAGTTTTTTAACTTATTTTGTTTTATATATTTATATTGTTTTTATATATTGTTATATATTGTATATATTGTTTTTTAAATTATTTTAAGCCTTGACCTTAAAAGTCTTTGCTTTGTAACTTTTAGCCCTAGCCTTGGCCTTGTAACATGTAACCTTGGCCTTGCTACTTTTGGCCTTGTTAACAACTCTGTATATATACATTTGTTTGAATATATACAAGTTTTTAGAAATACTGTAACTAACGATTTAAATAAGACTACTTAAATTGTGTAATCTTTGAAATGTGATGGATGATTTACAAGTTGTAGCTTGTAAATCGTCAATCACATTTCAAAGCAAAAT